ATGCCTACGTCCACGGGGCAAGGAAATGAGAGTTTTCACTATTAGAAATCAAGGGGATACAACTAGGGTTACAAATCTCACAAAAAACCCTCTTCAAATCACACTTGATCTCTCCAAATGCTCCTACAATAGAAGCCCAACAAAACCCCTCTATTTCAGCTTAAAACCCTTGCACACAAAACCCTAGAAACACCCCTTAGCTATTTATAACAATCCAAAATGAAACAGGTCTGGAACCCAGATTCAACCCAAACCGCTTCGGCGGTCGACCGTCACGGTCGACCGCACCAACTCTAGAAATAGTCCCAAACTCCAGAAGAAAACGCGGTCGACCGCCAAAGATTCAGAGACACAGTGAGGTCCCGTGCACGAACGCGGTCGACCGTCACGATCTCGCGATCGACCGCCGACCATCCAAAACGTTCCCCAGGCTCCATCAATTGTTCTGCCAGTCCTACGCTACAGTTACACCCCCAACCACACTCATCTCTCGTTACAGTGCATAGGGGCTCATATGAGAATTTTTTAAAATTCTCATGTGGGCCCCCGTACACTGTAGCGAGAGAAGAGTGTGGTTAGGAGGTGTGCCTCTAGCATTTTCCATATGAAAATCAGCACATAATTATCTGTTCACATACGAGAAGTTCTAATATGATTTTTCCTTCCTAAAACTTACATGGAATCAGGGTCGAAAATCAGACCCATATTATAGTGAAGCGGGGGCCTGACCAGACCCAAAGAAAATTGTGGTGCTCTCATAATTTTGGTCGTTGGGTGAACCGAAAAACCATTTTTCGAAGCTCAATTTTGTTGTGGCCATTAAAATTAAAAATCCAATTAGAGATTTTTCACCCATTGCCTCATATTGCGACGTATTAGTTTGTTTGATCCAGCTATTGGTGTTTTTCTTGCTTTGTAGAAAGCATAGAAAAGAATTTATCACATTATCCATATGCATAATGAAAATGGTTATGCTACTCAGGGCTAAGCCAAAAAGGTTGGTTTGTTTGGGTTTTAACATTTTTATCAAACTAAAACGAATCAGTTCGTTCTAAATTGAGAATTAAAGGGTGAGATATTTAGGCATGTCTATTTTACTCTGCATGGGTCTAATTAAAACGGATTATTTAAATGACCCGAAGTTTGCAAAAGTTCCAACTAAACCATCTAAAATTTAAAACGTTTATGTTCCATTAGAACATCCTGAAAATAGTCCCACGTGAGGGGTCATGTGACAATATAGAATCATTAATAACCTTAATATGTTATTAATTTACAATAAAAAAGCCTTATGTTATATTATTCTTCTTCCTCTCTAATTAAACCTAGGGTTTTTCTATAGAGTGCCCATGGACACTCTATAAGAGAGGAGAGAGATAGAGAGAAATGAATGAGGAGGGGATCCCAATGCAAATTAGGGGTCCCATTCTCTTCATTCATTTCTCCCTATCTCTCTCCTCTCTTATAGAGTGTCCATGGACACTCTATAGAAAAACCGTTAAACCTAAAGCTAAAACTTTTGCATTGTCTCTCCTCAATTCAATGCAAGGAGACATGAAAGAAAGCTCAAGATGTTCAAGCTTAACATCAAGCATGGGAGAAGAGGGAGGGGATGATGATGAGGAGACAAGGATTTGAGAAATTTAAGAAGTTTAACTTAGAGATGGAAACCCTAGCCCCAATTTCTAGACAAATGGCACAAATTTCCATTCCCCCAATATGAATTGAGTCAATTTGCTACCCAAATTGAGGTCTCAAATCGCTAGAGCTCTTTGGGTATAGCAATTTTGGAGAAGATAAGGACTCCGATGTTTTCTACTATTGTCTAAATTTAAGTGATTTTTTTTTTAAAAACAGTATGACATTTAGCGCAATTATCACCGGACATCATTCGGATTCTAATTACATGACGAACAAAGAGCGTAGGGCCTCAAAGGTTACCCAGGCCCAATATCCCCCGACTCCTCGTGACAAAATGGTAGTCCCATCTTCTCTCGTCTTCCCACTGCTCATATTTATCACCACCTATAATAATACCAAAAAACACTCATGAAATTCTAAGAAGAAAAGAAAAGAAAATGAAGACCGTAATTGCTTATAGTCTCTTGTGCACTTTTAAAATGGGGCGTCATCGAGTAGGGAAGGAGAAAATTTGTAATTTTAGAAAGCACACTCCTTTACTATATCGATTTTAGGGGTGCTGTAGATAACACCTAATTTTTTAAAATTAGATTTAAATCTCGCATCGTCTATTCTTCCAAGATGTCAAAAAGGCTAAAATACCTTTGGGGAAATATCCATTACTAATTCCAATTTAAAAAAATCCAAATCGATTAGATAACCCCCCCTCCTTTTTTAATAACCAGCAGGTGAGAAATTTAGTTTAACGGTGTCACATTAGAAGGGTTAAGTAAGAAAAGTGGAGATCAAGTCGAATTAAAAAATTTCAAGGCGATTATGTAGAACACTTCCAAATTGAAGAGGTTTAATCAAATCAAAATAGTTGAGGGAGGTTTCCTTGCCGCACCATCCATAACTCTTTGAACCAACCTCTAAAATAGGTATCCATTATTCCATCAACTGATTTGTTTAGGTTCAGGTTGAAATTCTTTCATCCTAAATTGACCTAAAAATATCCTAAATCGAAACGATAACTGATACATAAAATTTGCAGAATCGTATATTTAGATTCGAATGTTTGATCGGGGTGAACCAGGTGTTTAAGGAAAAGCTCTTTTCGAGCCCCATGACTTACAAAATAGTTATACGTACTTAAAGTTTTGTTCTGTAAGCGTCGATTACTTTAAAGATAAAGATTGTCCTATTTTGAAATTGTTGTTGAACTTCAAAAGTTTTTCCTACCACTGGTTTTGCAGCAGCATCCACCATGGAGAGTCGATCAATTTGATCTATCTAATTAGTACAAAATTAATTATACTACCGTGCATACCATTCGAAATATAAAACTTATCTAGATTTTAAATTTTGACTTAAATAAAAAATGCACACACTTCAGATGCACGTACAAAGTCAATATTTTAAAATCGACTACATTACCAAGTTGGCAACTTTAGTAGGACCTTTTACCAATTTGATATTTTTTTCCCCTTAACTTACGATATTATGGTATTATTAATATAAAAAATTATCAGTCTAGTTATTTTTTCCTACCGAATATACCAATTTAAATATGTTTTCCTCAACAGAATAATATACGTTAATAATATGTTGGTTTAGCCTTTCAAATTTTCACGTGCTTCAACCGACACGAGTCTAATAAAAAACCCATTTCCACCCCTTTCATCCTTTCTTCCGAGGAGTAGCATCCCTTTTTGAGCCTCTCCGCACAACATGGGCCTTGGATTTGTCGTTTGCAAATCGATAAACTTTCAAGTCGCCCGTTTTCACACCGGGATGGATACGTGCACTTCCACTCCCAGAACTTCCTTCCTTACAAAAATCCAAACCGGCCAGCCCATTCTTATCTTAGTCTGCACCAAAATCGCTACACTTATCTATATATCATAATCCCAGCGGTCTAATCAACAACTTTGCTTGCCACGTGGAAGCGTCGCACGGCATTCTCGGGCTTCTTTCTTAAAACCGCTTTTAAAAATAGTGTTATTGTGGGGAACCTATCTTTTTTATCTTCAATTTATATATATAAATCAGTTTTTAAAAATTCCTTGTTAAGATCAATCATCTCGGTTCATTTTTCATTTTAATTTTTTTTGAAAATTGATCTCGTATAGCCTCCATTAAACATCATCTTTCTAATATATTTAGTATTGATAACTAGTGATTATAGCAAAATTGAAAAAACTTAACTTAAAGATGATGAGAGCACTGGGTTACTCGTTAGGAAGTTTGGATGTGACCCTCGAGGAGGTCTCGGATTTTGTTGATGTCTGATATCACACAGTAAGTGGAAGTCGCAGAGTTGCTGGATCGTCGAGAGATTGAACTGTCGAGAGGGGGCCGCTTTCCTTCTTCGACTTTATGTCTGGTTCTCAGAGCTCGGGGTGGACGGATCACCTGCACATACAAGAATCGTGAGAGTACGAGGCTTGTTTCCCCTGTAGTACCTCCTACGGTCAAGTCAACTGGTGGACTTGGGTGAGGTGAAGGAAGAACGGTGTGCTCTTATAATATGTGTCTAGAGAGTTTTCAGGTAGTAAGAAAATCCAACCTCTTTTCATGACGAATAGCGTATGTATATATAAAGGACGCCAAGGGCCGAATAGGCATCTAGTGAGAATGCGGTTTATGATGATGGCGAGGGGTGAGCTGGAGGCCGAGTCACCCTTTGCCTGATACGTGTCGATTGGTGAGTGATGGGAGGTCACTTCAGTGACATAGGGAATCAGCAGCCGTCGAGGTTTGTCAGCGAGTGACGTGGAGTCACTTCTGTGGTATGGGGATCCTGCAGCCGTCGAGAATTGTCGGCGAGTGATGTGGAGTCACTTCTATGGTATGGGGATTCTGCAGCCGTCGATGCTTGTCAGCGGGCAACATGGAGTCGCTATGATGATCATAATTGGTAAAATAATGCTGAGAAGTAATGTTCTGAGTCGCCCTCGGGAGAAGTGTCGGCTGATCGCTGAGTAGCAATCTTTTGCTCGACTGAGTCCGCCTTTCGGGTCGTCTTTGGAGAATGAAGCCGGCTCGATTGAGTCTGTTCTTGGGATAACATATTTGTAAGAAACAGGGAACACCCTGTAACATATTTGATTCCATAATTAAAAAAGAAAAAGGTGAGTTTAGGTGATCAATTGTAATAAAATAATATTTGAAAATAATTTATGTGTAAATTAATAATTAAAGATGGATTCTACAGATTAACGTTATTTAAAAGGTGTTTTGTTGGGGGGAAAATATTATTTTCTGATGACCCGTGTCGAAAAAGAGACCGACAGAGTGTGATGGAGCTCTGAGACGTACCAAGTCCTCACTCCTCATAAGCTGCCAATATTATATACATCCCCTGAGAGAGAAATGCTTGACCCTTCTACTCTCTTTGGCCACTCAAAAAAAGAACCATAAAGATAGAAGATTCTCACTTACTATAGATAGATCGCATCTCTTCAAGTAGTAGCGAAGGCAGAGCGTGTTGCGGGAAATTAAAAATAAAATAAAAAAGAGGAGGAGAGATTTAAATTTAAGATGGGTTACGGGCGTGTGGCTGAGTTTGCATCAGATTTGTGCTCGTTTCCTCGTTTTTACAGGAGACAGAAGAAGATAAAAGAGCTGCAGACGGTGGAGATCAAGGTTAGGATCGATTGCGAAGGATGCGAGAGGAAAGTTAGGAAAGCAGTTGAAGGGATGGAAGGTATTTTATCAATCAATCTAAATTGCTTCTACTATTTAATAAGTTTATTTTCAATAAATATCCACTATTTAATAAATTCCTTTTACTAAGCTAGAAAAATGATCTGTTTATATGTCCAGTTTAAAGTCACTTGTTTTTTTTTTTCAACCCAAAGCGGGGGTTTGTACCAATATTATTGAATTTGGATCCACCGATTAAAAACTGGGGTTATAATTTAAAACCCCAAGGATTCTTAAGCCTACGACTTCTGAAATCATTCTTAACCCGGAAATAACATACTGAACTAATTCTGAAACCGAATTCATTGTTATATGAGTTGACACTTGACAGCCCAATTTTGCAAAATTGCAGAGAGCTCACATAGCATAGACTTAGCAGTCCATTTTGCAAAATAGACTACCATCTCATATACATTAATTTTTCCTAATTTTAAACCCAATTTCTGTATTTTACCAGTAGTGTTTTGTTATGGTTGTCTACTTTGCTACTTTTAACATTTAAGTTGTTATATTTTGGGCCAAGTTGCTGTATTTTGGGCAAGTTGCTACATTTTTCTTAAACATACACCGTCTACAAAGAAACAGAAAATGGTTTAGATGGGTATGCGAAAAATAGAAAATGATTTAGATGGATAATTATTGTTCATAGTTTGGATTTAAGAATGATATTGGAGGACTATGGGTTTAAAAATAAATCAACGCAAAACTATGGGCTTAAAGAATAACATATTAATTATTTGTGATGAAAATTTTATGTGTATTAAATTCAATATATATTAATCATTGAATCTTAATATATATTAATCATTGAATCCGTACATGAATCATAAAATTAAATTCAATGATTCAAGGGTTGATCTCTCTTTAATACACAATTAATGTCATGATATACATGTAACATCATCACAATTAATGTCATGATATACATGTAACCTCATGGACCTGAGGCCAAGGGAGCCTTGGCCACACCTTGAAATAATAATGAAATTATGCTAGTAATACTGATTAGTCTCCAAAATCTTCTTATTTTGAAATTAGCCTCTCAACTCTTTCAAGTGTTTTCAAGTAGTCGTCAAAATCTTCATATTTTGAAACTAGTCACCTCAAACCTTGGACTTGTTTTAAAATTAGCCTCCAAATTAGTGGCAGTCGCATTCGGTGACTGTCGTTGTCACTTGCTCTACTCGGGGGACACTTGTCCTAAATCATAACCAAATCCCAAAATCCTACACTAACCCCAAACATACGCAAGTGTGTGTGTTTCCAATACCAATCGCGATAGGGTAGTAGGTGTTGGGATTATGTCAATAACAGTCTGCGATAGGGTAGTAGTGTGTGTGTCCCTAATAACAGTCGCGATAGGGTAGCAGGTGTTGGGAATTATGTCTTTGATTCTCGGTATATCTTCATGCGAATTAGATAGGGTTAGAGATCTATCATGATTAGAATATTGGGTCTCATCATGATTAGAAGTTTGAATCATATTCTAATTAAGAAGGTAGATTAGAGATAGAGTTTTGGTTTCCATATATATATTCTTCTATTGTTGGAGGAAAAACCAAATAGATGGGAGTGCCAATATTCTTGTAATTTAGAGTTAGCAGAGGATGTAACATGATTCAAGAATATTGTGCGAAAGGCGAGAGTTTCGTAGTATTTGTTCGTTCAAATGATTGTAAGGAGAGAGCTTAGAAGAGAATATGAGAGTTGATTATGTATGTGAGGTTGAGAGATTTTGAGACGAGAGTTGAGTGATTCCTCTTGTAGTTCGCCCTGATACATAGTGGATTTCTCGTATTGTTGCCCCGTGGACTTAGGTCGAAGTTGGTCGATCGAACCACGTAAATCTCGGCGTTCTTTCTTCTTGATTGTGGTTATTTTATATCTTGTTAATTGTGGTTGGCTTCCAAGTTGCGTAGACCGTAGTAGGCGAGGAGACTAAAATTCCCCAACAGTAAGGTAGGGTGGTTAGACTTTTTCTTAAAGAAATAATCCACTCCAAAATCCAAATAAAAGCTGACTAGGGAGACTAATTTCAAATTGGTTATGAGAGTTGGAACTAATTTCAGTTATTTGCGGAACTAATATCAAAGTATTAAAGATTTGAGGGGCTAAATATTGAACCACATACGAGTTGCGAATTGTGACTTTGGGATAAACATAACATCCTCTCTTTGCCCGTGGCCCTTGGTCCTTCTCTTTTCCCTCACAGTTAATTCCTCAAAATTCCTCAAAACTAAATGAAAGATTAATGATTGTTTGGTGCACTATATTGAGAAAAATATATTTTGTAACATTAATGAGAAATATGTCATGAAAAAAGTTTCAAGAAAAGGAGACAAGAAAATTGATATTGTAAACAATATAGGCTAATTTGAATTATTTGATGTCGTACTTGTACAGAAAAATAGGTTATCATGTCTAAATATTTTTTGAACCCCCTTTTAGAAATTCCTGGATATATCAACCACTGCCGTGGACCGGGATATTTGATATTTCCTTGCACGGTGGATGTCTTAATATTCGTATTGATGAAATAAGAGGCATTCACTCAAACCAAATTATTGCTTATCTGGGATCTAAAACTTTGATGATCTTGCTTTTAAGGTGTGAGCAGCATAGAGGTGGAGCCAAAGCAGCACAAGCTAACCGTAATCGGATACGTGGACCCCAAAAAAGTGTTGAGGAGAGTTCGGAGGAAGACGGGGAAGCATGCAGTACCGTGGCCGTACGTACCCTACGATACCGTATACCATCCGTATGTGACGGGCGCGTACGATAAGAAGGCCCCGGCCGGGTACGTGCGAAACGTGGTGGAGGACCCTAACGTGGCCCCTCTCGCACGTGCTAGCTCTACCGAGGTCAGGTACGCGACGGCGTTCAGCGACGACAACCCCAACTCTTGCGTAGTTATGTGAGTTTTTGAAGCGCGTACTTATTTATGTAAGTGGTTTGGTTGTTGGGTGTGATGGTTTGGTTGTTGGGTGTTTTTGGCTCGTAGTTGATTTTGATGGATTTTGGTATAAAGACATGTACAAGAATTTTGTGTGCTTGCACTAAAAAGTGTTTTGTTTAAGTTATAGCGTGTTATAATATTGTTGCCGTATTTTGAGAAAGCTGGATGCTACAGACTGCTAGTTTTAATTATAGTACCGTGTACTATTTGATTTGATCACGGTGCTGTGTATGAATAAGTGCGGCGATGATGGAGGTCAGATCCACATCTAACCATTCGTGCGAGGAAGGATCTCTTCACGGGCACACTAAGTTTTATTCACACTTGGTTAAATATCAGGATTAAGTGTTTTTAATATGTTTTCTAACTAAAATTTATTTCTTGGTACCGCTTCGATGGTTTTTGCTCATTTATGTCTCTAAATTTTAACATTGTGATTATTTTTTTTTATGTTCGTTTAAATGAGCTACACCCAAGTTAAATTTTCTTGTTGATAATTGAATTGATAGAAATGTAATCTGAAGTCAATTTAACTTATTATGTTATTCAAACTGACATGAAATCAAGTTTGGCCTGAGATAGTATAATATTACAAAAATAAAAACAATTGAAAAAACAGCGTTATATAAAGAAGATGGATAATTAATTAAAGCTAATAAGACAAAATGATTGATTAAAAGATGGCTAAAACAACACAAAAGAGAATATGAAGATTGTTCCTAGTCTTCTGAATCATTGTCATCATATAAAAGTGTACTATAGTTAGCATTAATCTTTAATTTATAATTTTTTAAGTCTATCAAAGATTCAGAAGATTAGGAACAATCTTCATATTCTCTTTTGTGTTGTTTTAGCCCTCTTTTAATCAATCATTTTGTCTTATTAATTAGGTTTAATTAATTATTCATCTTCTTTTTATAACGCTATTTTTTCAATTGTTTTTATTTTTTTAATATTATACTTTCTCAGGCCAAGCTTGATTACATGTTAGTCTGAATAACATAATAATAAGTCAAATTAACAAATGACCCCTTGAATGGGAAGTCAATTTTTACACCCAACAAAAAATGGCAACAACAGTGGGAGAAATCGTTTCTTCAACCGAAATGGTAGTACACAGTACGATGACATTGCGGAAGGGACAACAATCCATTTATTCAAATTTTTATTGAGCTGCCATCAATCATTCTGCACCTTTATATTTTTCGATAATTTAGACTACATTTAGATGCTAAAAAATGATAGTAAACCTTAAATTAGAAGTTAAATTTATATATCTTAATAAAAGAATATCGAATAACAACTCTCTCTTTTTTTTCTAAGTTTTGAAATTTTAGTTGTTTTGTTCTTTTGTAATTTTAAACTTTTGAGGGTGTGTTTTGCAAATTTTAAAACTTTGAGAGTTTTTTTGTGAAAATTTTAAATTTTAAATTGGGTGCTTGTAATTTTCATGTTTCTTTGTGTTAGCAGTATGTTTTCGAATGTCAGGATATTTCTTGCAACTCTAAAATTTTGAGGGTGTTATTATAATTATTAAAACTTTGGATTGTTTTTTTACAAAAAATAAGTTTTTAATGGTCTGCTAATAATTTGTGGATTTGATATGTATTGGTTATATGTTTTGAAATTTCAGAGGTTTTTGTGAGTTTTAACTTTTGAATGAGTTTTTTTATAATTTTTATAACTTTGAGGTTATTTTTTACAAATTCTAAATTTTTAGGTGCCTAATGTAATCCCTTGAATTCATCTTTGTTGTTTGTGAGTTTCAAATTTTTAGAATTTCAAAGGTGATTTTTTATTATCTAAATTTTTGAGAGTGCTTCTATTTTCTAAAATATTGAGGGTGTTAATTGCATATTTTAAATTCTTCCGACGCTGTTGTTAATTTTTAGATTTCATGTTTGTTATTTTAAGTTTTGAAACGTCAAGATGTCTTTGTATAATTTTGAATTTTTGAGGGTATTTTATGTAATTTTTGAAACTTTTTGGGTTATTTTGTCATCCTTCGTATAGTATAGCATATTAGTTCTTTACCTTAACAAACTAATATTGTGGAGCTATTTCATATATTTTATTAATTTTTTTTAAAATTATTGAGCTGTAGGTAGTTCATATGAGATTAGGATATGATATGATTATAACGAGGATATATCAAGATTTTTATGGAACTAGGATAGGATGTAATTATGATAAGGATTGTTGGATTTTTTGGTCAAAACTACATTCCAAAATGAGTTTTCAAACTATATATATTAACTACAAGTACTTTTCATAAATGCTTAGTAACCTAGTGGAAAGTTTATGTTTTGGTGTGTTCGCTCGTCATATGAGGTTCACCTGTTTGACGAGGTTAGCTTATCATATGAAGTTCACCTGTTTGACGAGGTTCGTATGTCATATGAGGTTCACCTGTTTGACGAGGTTCGTCTATAATACGAGGTTCGCTTGTTTGACGATGTTCGCTCCTTTGATGAGGTTCGTCTGTCATACGAGGTTCGCTCGTTCGACGAGGTTCGTCTGTCATACAAGGTTCGCTTGTTTGAGGATGTTCGCTCGTTCGACGAGGTTCGTCTGTCATACGAGGTTCGCCTGTTTGACGATGTTCGTTCGTTCGACGAGGTTCGTCTGTCATACGAGATTCGCTTATTTGACGAGGTTCATTTGTCATATGAGGTTCGCTTGTTTGACGAGGTTCGCTCGATCGACGAGGTTCGTCTGTCATACGAGGTTCGCCTGTTTGACGATATTCGCTCGTTCGACGAGGTTCGTCTGTCATACGAGGTTCGCCTGTTTGACGACGTTCGTTTGTCAAACGAGGTTTGTCTGATTTGATGAGACGTGACCTTTGCGTTTCGTAGCAACGCGTCTATTGATTGCCTCGTATTCTAGAGTTACTGTATGCAGCAGTTACAACAGTAATTATAGTAATTTAATGCATGATGTTACAATCTTAATTGCCATTGAGAATTGTAATAGTCATATTAGTTGCTAGTGACTCTTGAGCTGGCCTTAGAGGCCTATAAATAGCGCCCTTGGACAACTCTTGGTTGCTGCTGGAAACTCTCGCGAGCGTGGAATACGAACGTCAGTATAGAATACGAACGTCGGTATGCACACGCGAGCTTGGAAAATGAACGTCGGATCGACGTTGTTGTTACTGTTATTGTGCTGCTGCTGCAGAACTGTGCCTGTAAGAACTCTAAAACCGAAAGGTTTTGAACCGAAAGATTCTGAGATCGAGGAGATCTTTTGCGTTGACCGAAAGGTCTTATAGATCGAGGAGATCTTGACAGTACTGGGTTGGTGCACACCAGAGTACTGCACTGCTATTCCTGAAAGCAGTTTCGCCTTGGGATCCTTGTACCGGAGTAGGACAAATATTGCTTTAAGCACAGTGTTTCTCAAACGCACAACAGTTAATTAAAAAAATTAAAATAACAACACATCTAAATTCCTCTGTTTAATTCCAAATTTAACCTCAATTTCTAACATTCTTAAGGCAATATTTTAGATCTACTAATGGATCCTGCGAGGACTCTTGGAGTGGACTGTCTCAAGTTAGAAAATTTTGATGGATCTAACTTTAACACGTGACGTTGAAATGTGATTTTTGGGATGCAACTCCTAAAAATCTACTATGTGGTTTCTGAAGAGAAACCTAACTTTGAAGAAGACTCAGAGTCTGAAGCCTCTTGGATTAAAGATGATCATTTCTGCAGGTGTTATCTCCTTAACTGCCTGGCTGATCATCTGGCAGATGTTTACACCAACAAGTTCTCTGCAAAGAAAATCTGGAATGCTCTGGAGGAGAAATACAAGGATGAGGAGAAGCTTTCCAAGTCTCACCTTATTGACAAGTTTCTTAACTTCAAATTCGAAGATGACACTGAGGTTTGCCTCAAGTCAAAGTGCTCGAAAAGCTTATTATGAAGCTGAAGGATGAAAAGATTAATCTTTATCAAACATTCATTTCTGAAGCAATTGTCAACAAGCTTCCTCCATCTTGGATGTCATTCTCCACGGACATTCAAAGAAGGAAAAGACAGGTGATTTTGTCTGATTTGAAGAGGTTCATTCGGATCGATGATGAGATTCAGACTCGTACAAAGAATAAGCTCCTAGCTAAGTAGAAGGCGTATGCTAACATGATGGTTACTAACTCTGAGAAGGATACCGGTTCTTCTAAGAAAAAGAAGTCTTTTAACAAAAAAAATCATAATCTGAAGAACCTGAATGTTCAGAAGAAAGATTTCAAGAAGAGCGGAAAATGCTTCAACTGGGGAAGCAAGGATATTTTGCCAAAGACTACAAAGTACCAAAGAAGTGAACAATACACAATGTTAATCAACTTGACAATTGTGTGTCTATGCTCTTTCAGGTGAAAACTCAATTGTAAATGAAGTATTGTTTTCTGCTTACTCCTCTGTATTATGACACAATAGGTTAGGACATGTAAATTATAGAAAATTGTCTAGTATGAATAAGTTAGGATTACTTCCAAAATGTGGGGGTAACAAACCTGAGAAGTGTGAAGTCTGTGCGCAAGCAAAGCTAACAAGTAAGCCATTTCTAAGTGTCACAAGGAGCACCAACCTATTGGATCTGATTCACTCAGATACTTGTGATTTCAAGATCTTCGTCACTCGATGCGGCATGATGTACTTCATCACCTTCATTGATGACCACTCTCGCTTCTGTCACGTCTACCTGTTAAAATCTAAAGATGAAGCCTTCAGCAAGTTTATCGAGTTTTGGACTTGAGTGGAGAAGCAGTTTGGACTTCAGGTGAAAAGACTCAGTAGCGACAGAGGAGGAGAGTATTGATCTAAGGAGTCAGAGGCATACTTCAAGGAGCATGGAATCATTGCTGAATCTACTACTCCGTATTCTCCGTAATCTAATAGAATTGCAGAAAGGAAAAATCGTACATTGACCGAGATGGTGAATTTGATGCTAATCATATCCGGTCTACGTACATGCTATTAGGGAGAGGGTTTGCTGATGATAAACTGTATTTTGAACAGAGTATCATATTCTAAAACTGATAGTACTCCTCATCAATTATGGTTGGGATATCCAGATCCTTTGGATAGTCTCAAAGTGTGGGGGTGTCTCGCATATATTCGAGTTCCAGATATCAGAAGACCTAAGCTCGGACCA